GTCCTGTGTGTTTAGTGTGGTGCAATTTTAAGCTCCATAGACTACTAAATTCGCATTACAATTGCAGCTTCAAAGCACAAATCGCACCACAAATTTGTAGTCCAAAACGCATGCAAATTGGACTGGATTGCGCCACATCCATTCTATACCTAGGCTGAGATGAGTTGTGCTGGAAAAACAAGTCCAGCCCATGGAGGCCTCACCTGACAACTTGCAGGACATAAAGGGTGTGCTACTAACGGCTTGATGGTAAACACCACCATACCTTCTGATGTGTAGTGGAGTCCATGTCTTGACGGGATCAAGGCTATTTTTGCTGCTAAAGGGAGCCCAGTGTCTTGGAAACCTGTGACTATTTGTCCTTTCACATTTGTCCATTTCCCCTGTTGATTCGGAGCAGAACAGGGAGAATGTCACTTTTGTGACATTGGTGCTTGTTCAGTTTTTTGTCTGCATTTTGACAGTGGAGGATTCTGGACCTTTGTTAGATCTATGGGCTGCTGGTTATAAGTGGACATGTGTCTGTTTACATCAGGCTACCTCCGATCTGTCACCTTTTAGGTCTTTAAAAATGGAAAGGGTCTGCATCCTTTTCCATTTTTTTGGGCCTGGGCAGACTCACAGGTAGGCGGATGTAAACTGATATGCATCCAGTTACATCCTCCTACCCATAGACCTGCATGGAGCTTCCGATCAGGTGTGCCTGGAAAACCTGCAAGCGCATCTAATCGGAAAGGCCATGTAAAAGGACCTCAAGCAGTATTGCTTTATCAGAAGTGTGGGTGGTTGGCCCTCCCTGCTGGGTATTGTTGTGAAGCTGATCGGAGTGGAGGAGAAGGGATGCCGGAAGCTCTGGTAGATGGCGTGTTAGTCGTTGTATGGCACGGGGCCAGTGTTTAGCTCTATCATGAAGTAGAAATAAGCAGGACTAATTTGTCTGGCAAACAAAGTGTGGGAAAATGGATCTGTGTGTTTCAGATATATGTGGCTCCAATGACATGACCTTGCCGTGACACATGTAGGGTTAAACACATAACCAGAGATGATCACTCAGACCAGTTATCCTTCTAGTGGTATGTGTGTAATGGGAGGATATGCCTATTGATCTGTGTGCTTTGGAAAGGTTCTGCCTCCAGCATGGTTTCCTTTTGCAGTGTGTGGCCTTTTATTCAGGTTCAGGTTAGGTCATTGAAGATGGCTGAGGTCACTGCAATGATTCGTCATCTTCCATATAAAAGAGTGAATGTGCTGACCAGTGAGTGTCCGGTGAGGATATGAGCATCTTGTGAAGAAAGTAATAAAAGCTATTGAGTGTTGCAAGTGGTTTTCAGTTTCCTTCCCTTAAAGGACCACTATGGCTAGATCTGCTGTGTCCAGGTAATCCATGTAATGATAGTAATATGAATTCCCTTTTAGTACACTTGCCTTTATATGGCTTAAAGTGGTATTAAACCCAAAAGCAAGCATTTATTATATTGCAGGTTACCAATTCATAGATGTGATGGCTGCATTATTAGGCTTACTTTTTTCCTATTTTCATCTGGTGATCTAGCCAGCAAATCTCTTGTTTTACAGAAGCTCTCCAGCAAAATGTATCAGTTACATGGATGAGACAACCATTTATCCCTTGCTGGGGTGGGTAAAATGATCAGCTTTTATTTTTTCAGTGTGATTATAAAGTGTGAGCTGGAGTTTGGCTTCAAATTGTTAAGGCATCTAAATCTGCTAATATTATTATTATTATTACTACATCGAGTTTATATAGCGCCAAAGGGTTTGCTCAGCGCTGTACAATAGAGGGGGGGGGGACAATAAATGAAACAGAACAGCAACAACAAACAGCACACGAGGGGTTAGAGGGCCCTACTCTTTCGAGTTTACAATCTAGGAGGGAGGGGGTACGTCTAACACTCCCCTCCCCCAGACTGACAATGCTGCTGTCTGCTGTGCCTCCTGTGCTCCTTCCACTGTTCTGTCTCACTAATACAGGAGGTGTGTTACTGGCCAGATCACCAGGTGAACATTGCCAAAAATGTACAATGTGCACTCTCTGACCCTCAATTTTCTCTGTTATGTCTGCAGTTTCTGACAGTCTTCTCAAGCATTACATATACTGAACATTATGTGTAGCCCTTTGGTGATGTTGAGGGCCACATTTCAGGCCCCTTTGAGCTCATAAGTTGGCAACCACTGCTGTAGACCATGAGGGAGGGAGGCACCCACACTTCCCTACATTTAGGAAACAAGTTCCCGTGGCCAGCAGGATGTGTGTTGGGCTCTCTCCATGAAAGGGTAAATATGTTTTATGTAAAATGTTATATTGTCTCCCTCCAAGACCTGCTGATCATAATCTTGTGTATAGTGCGATATCCATCTAGTATCTTGTCAACTGTTTTCTCCATTGGGAAATCTGTGTTAAGGGATGAGTGAAATGAAACTGATATTTCACATTTCCTATACCGGACTATAGTCTATTTTATGATGGTTGCAGCTTATTGCATCTCAAAGTTCAAGACCTAAAAAATTAGAATTGTTCCAGGCTTATTGACTCACCAGGTCATGGATCAGGATTAGGATGATGGCTGTGGAACTTTCACCTTTAAAACCATGTTAGCACTAGTGATTGGTTCTCGTGAGACAACTCCAGCCAACATAGTAAAGTACTCTATAAGTATCTAGAAGCAGCAGTTAGTTAAAGCAGGACCCGATAAATCCCAGGCACCAGGTCGCTATGGTTACCAGAAACCGCGTTTCGGTGCCTGGGCTACCACTGGCAGGGCCACCATCAGGGGACAACAGCCTATACACAGGTAGGGGACCTGGGTGTCCTGAGGGGCCCAAACCACGGACCCCAACCAGTGCTGTCTTTAATGCGGGGCAGCGGTTGTCAGAGCAGACCAGCTGCCAGGATGCAGAGGAGGGTGGAGTGGTGGGCAGATCCCAGGTGTGTGCAGAGAGTGGTCAGGGCACGCTGTCAGGCAGGCTCCGGTCAGGAACGTCCGTGTGCACTGGGGTGGGTGAGGCCAGGGGGTGCCAGCAAAGGGCCCTGTGGAGGAGGAGGGAAGAGGTCAGGGTGGAGGAGCCCCCTGCTCTTTGTTGCTGCTATCGCTAGAGTTCCTGGTGGAGGTGGGACACAGGCTCAGCTGCCCCTCCTGGCACCAGATCCTCTCCACTGACACCATCTGGAGGAGCCGCTGCTGAACAGGTGAGAGCTGGGAGGACTGGTGGTTCCCAAGGTGTGTGATGCTGACCCCCACCTGTCCTGCCTCCTAACTTTTTTAGCTGTCTCCTAGAATCAAAGCAAATTTGTCAAGTCCTGAGTTTATGTACCCAGTTGATAAGGGCTCTGCACCACGCAGATCAGCATATTTCTGCGGCAGGTACAGCCAGGTGTTTCAGCCACAGACATGACAAATCAATGATAGGCTGCCACTGTTTGCATGAAGCTTGGAATGAATACCTGTGCTTATCAATGGATGTGCATACCTGGTTGTGAACTGCCTGCATCCAGGGGAGCATATCCATTTCTTAACTGCTGGTAATTGCTTCATATGTGTGGTTGCATGTCAATGATTTTATGCCTGCGGCTGATCAGAAACACCTGGTCTTACCCGCTGCAGAAATATGCTGATCTGGGTGGTGTACAGCCTCATTTGGCCATGTACATGAATGAGCTCATGTTGTGTATGATGATCGAACTAAAGCCATTCCCACTACAAGCTCCCACTACAAGCTCCCATAAGAGTCTCCAGAGTTAGGTTATTGTAACCTATGTACAGGAGCTCATGCTGTGTATGATGATCGAACTAAAGCCAGTCCCACTACAGCTCCCATAAGAGTCTCCACTACAGGAGCTCATGCCGAACTAAGAGTAAGAGTCTCCACAGTTAGGTTAATGCAGTGTTTCTCAACTCCAGTCCTCATGGACCCCCAACAGGTCATGTTTTCAGGATTTCCCTCAGATGAAACAGCTGTGGTAATTACTAAGGCAGTGAAACTGATCAAATCACCTGTGCAAAATAATGGAAATCCTGAAAACATGACCTGTTGGGGGTCCATGAGGACTGGAGTTGAGAAACACTGGGTTAATGTAACCTATGTACAGGAGCTCATGCTGTGTATGATGATCGAACTAAAGCCAGTCCCACTACAAGCTCCCATAAGAGTCTCCACAGTTAGGTTAATGTAACCTATGCTGAGCTTATATACTGTATGTGGAGTGTTGTAGTTCTTTCCATACTCTGCTCTTATTATCACCTGACATTTTTTGATGCAATAATATTGACTCCTACCGGTAGAAGTAGAGCCAAAATTTTTTTTGCTCTGCTTCTGTAGGGTACAGGAGTGCAGTTCGTTCTGCACCCTGTGGCCTGCTTTCAGCTGACAGTGGGCTAAAGCTTGCTGTCGACTGCCCTCACTCAGCAGGTCCAGACTTTAGAGAGATCCCGATTTTAATGTCGGGATGCTCCCAAATGCCTGACTGCCACTGAGAGGCTGAGCCAGTCACTTCCACAGCCTGGCACTCTAATAAGCATTGGAGGGGCAGAACAGAGAGCCGGTGACTGCCAGTCACTGAAGACAGAGAACTGAGCCGTCAGCAGTCTTTGAGGTGTTGAGGTGTTGGGGAACAGATGCAGCATTGGAATGGTTCTGCATCCACCTAGGGGAATATGTTTGTTGTTTTTTTTTTTTTTAAAACAACACTTTACTTTTAACTGTCTTTATGTGATAACACTTAGGCGAGCCACACACCGCTAGATTTCTCTCATTCAGCTTGTGGAATGAAAGAAAATCGATCGTTTCCTCCATCCACACTAAATGACATGCATGGAGGAATCTACTCTGTTGGTTATGGTATTCAAGCAGCTGCAGCACCCGTTGCTGTCTGAATATCCAAATAGACTGCTTCTGATAATCTGAACAATTTTCCGCTTCTTTGATATTTGAGTTTTGTTGAGTGGAGTGGTGCCAACAGCACCACCCATAACTCAAATTTGAACGGATTTGTAGTTATAAAATATATGAATGGGATATGAATATTTGTAACATACACTCTATAGTCAAAAGTATTGGGACACCCCTCCAAATCATGGTGTTCCAATTACCTCCATGGCCACAGGTGTATAAAATCAAGCACCTAGGCATGCAGACTGCTTCTACAAACATTTGTGAAAGAATGGGTCGCTCTCAGGAGCTCAGTGAATTCAAGCGTGGTACCGTGATAGGTTGCCACCTGTGCAATAAGTCCATCTGTGACATTTCCTTGCTACTAAATATTCCACGGTCAACTGTTAGTGGGTATTATAATAAAGTGGAAGCAACTGGAAACAACAGTAACTCAGCCACAAAGTAGTAAGCCACGTAAAATGACAGATCGGGGTCAGCGCAGAAGTCACCAAGGGGTTTATTTACTAAAGCTGGAGAGTCCAAAATCAGACTCCCTTCTGCATAGAAACCAATCAGCTTCCAGGTTTCATTGCCAAAGCTTCATTGAACAAGCTGAGGTTAGAAGCTGATTGGTTTCTATGCAGAAGGGAGTCTGATTTTGGACTCTCCAGCTTTAGTAAATAAACCTCCAACTGTCTACAGAGTCAATAACTAAAGACCTCCAAACTTCATGTGGCTTTCAGCACAACAGTGCGTAGAGAGCTTCATGGAATGGGCTTCCATGGCCTAGCAGCTGCATCCAAGCCTTACATCACCAAGTGCAATGCAAAGTGACAGATGCAGTGGTGTAAAGCATGCATCCACTGGACTCTAGAGCAGTGGAGACGTGTTCTCCGGAGTTAGGAATCACGCTTCTCTGTCTGTCAATCTGGTGGATGTGTCTGTGTTTGGTGGTTGCCAGGGGAACTGTACTTGCCTGACTGAACTGTGCCAAGTGTAAAGTTTGGTGGAGGGGGGATTATGGTCCCTTAGTTTCAGTGAAGGGGACTCTTAGGGCCCTTTCAGATTGGGTGGACCCGTCAACGGATCAGCCTGCTCAGCGGGGGATCTCTCTGCTGATCCCTGCTGGGCAGGCGAATGATAGGTCTGATACCGCTCCGCTGCTGCAGAGTGGACACAGACCGCTGTCTTCTATGGGGCGATCGGATCGAAATGGATCGCCTGTCTGTTTCTACCCTACTGCCATCCCATCCAATCCACCAGACTGATGGGTAAAGGATCCCCATCTGTCTGTTTTTGGCGTACAGGATCAGATTGTATGCTAATGGCCAGGCCTTCTCGTCCGACATCAGTGCCTAACTTCACAAATGCACTTCTGGAAGAATGGTCAAACATTCCCATAGACACACTCCTAAACCTTGTGCACAGCCTTCCCAGAAGAGTTGAAGCTGTTATAACTGTGAAGGGCGGGCCAACTCAATATTGAACCCTATGAACTAAGACTGGGATGCCATTAAAGTTCATGTGCGTGTAAAGGCAGGCGTCCCAATACTTTTGACAATACAGTGTAGATTTTATACCTACCTGATTTAGACAAAATTTGAGCCATGTATGGCTTTAGCGTAGTATAGCTTGCATTTTATATGTCTACATTGATGAGGTTTAGGGAGGAGGTGTTTTATTTTCCATTCATGTTACCTTCAGCGTTAACTATTAGACCTCATGCACACTGGATGTTTTTACAGCAACTGTTTTTGGCTTTTGCTGTTTTTTTTCTACAGCCAGTAAACTCCCCAGCATGTTATCCTATGTGTCCATGCACACATAGACTGTAATCAGTGTTTTTTTGGCTGGAACTCCCCCCCAGAACCTAGTGGGTTTCTAGAGGAGTTTTCTAGCTGTAAAAACACTCTGAAAACCGCAGCAAAACACAGCAAACTAGCATTTTTCTACATTTTTTTTTTTTTTTAGCAAAAAAAAAAATTTTTTTTTTTGGTTAAAAAAAAACGCTAAAAGACGCAAACACAAAAAAATGCGGCTAAAAGCTAATGCAAAAACGTTTAAAAAAACCACACTAAAAAAAACTTGTGTTTTTAGCGTGATTTTGCACAGCTAACTTTACTAGTGTTATTACAACGCCCCTGTGTGCATAGAGCTTTAGAATTCAGCTTTTCACAATTTAAAGATTGTAGTTTTTAATGATTTAATACGACAGGTAAATGCTGCTTAGCTGGGTGTATTTGTGAACAAATGCTTGAATCCAAGTTGTTGGAACAAAAAAAAAGCAATAAAGGCTCTGAAATGACTGTAATGTTGGTGATATGATTGTCCTGCTCACTTCAATATCTTCACTGTGCAATTTCTTGCTCTTCTGCTACCATCTAGTGGACACTTAGATATATGCAGCTTCAATCTTTACATCAAATGTTCTATTGCTTTTTGTGTTGGAACCCCTGAACTTTATTTCAAATTAATTTTAAGTGGAAAAAATAGTTGCATATCCAGGAGGTTTATGTAAACCGCTCTTGACAGAAGTCTTAAATGAAAACCAAAAAAAGTGCTCAAAACTTGGATATAGTACAATAGATATATCCACTTTCCTAAAAGACTGCCAAAAAAAAAACAACAACAAAGAAACTTTTATGTAAACCTAAACTCCAGTAGTAGTGTTCTGGCCAGTCCAGTGAAGTGACTGGTTCCTCTTGTCACATGGCCAAATACAGCAGTTCTTTGAGCCCAGGTCAGGTGAGAACACAGAGAAAGTGGATATAGAATGACATAGTTATCATTCAACACAGAAGAGCATCTAGTGGCGGAAGTGACCTTCTACAAGGGACAGAACCGGATTGAAGGTGAGTGTTGCAGAGAGCGATGCATTTTTAACATCTTTAAATGTGGCATGTTTTTTAATGCCAGGTTATACAAAGATGCCCAATGTTTTTATCATGTATTCACATTGACGTGTTTGGAGGAACATAAAGAAAAACACAAACTATTCTCAGACGGACCTTGATTGATCTCAGATGCCCCTGTTCAGCAGCTCTACATTTGTTATTAAGTAAATTAAGTAGTTGAACTGTAATGGCAACTGCCTGATGTTGGACATTTTAGGATGCTATAGAGTGCTATTTTTAAAAACTGGAAAAGAGAAGCAATGGTCATGAAGACCAATCGGATTCCTTGTGCTGTTTTTCACACAAGATAATAGATAAAGCCTCATTGGTCACCATGAACAACAACTTGTTTTTTGTTGTTTACCAGAGTTTATCAGTAGCTTTTAATATTGAAACTGCCTTTTAATATTTGTAGCACTTTTGGATGTACTTATTGTATTGCCAATTGGTTGTATTACTAATCTTTCGGAGCCTTTGCTGTGTGTAAAATGATACCTATCTCTTCAGTGAAGCCTATCCTGCCCTCAGCTAATAATGGGATCTTCTATTCCTCCTACCAGTCCATCAGTTATTACATTTTGTACCACTAGCCCTCCCTCCTAGATTGTAAGCTCCAAGGAGCAGGGCCCTCCTAACCCTCTTGTATTGAACTGTATTGTTGCTGTATTGTCTCCCTTTATATTTTAAAGAGCTGAGCAAACTGTTGGCGCTATATAAATCCTGTATAATAAGGTAAACCTATGAAAATAAATGCTGACCAGCATTTTTGGTCGTTTGCTGTGACCCACCCCTCCTGTACCACATTGCTGATTGAAATACACTCCCCCAATCATCTACATTTGCAATTTTTTTTGTTTTGGTCCCCCTGTTAAGTCCCATTCATGCCTGTTGATCCTGCCAGTTAAGTCCTAATGCAATTTCCTCTGATGGTGTGGCAATGTTACTGAATTGCTCCTGAATTCAGAACAGTTACCACTCTAGCACTCAATAGCATTGCCTGTGTTGCTAAAACCCTCCCACTATTAGCTGCAGTGTCTGGGAGGAGGAGCATGTGAGACACAAATGAAGGAGGATGTGGCCCAGTCAGTAAAGGTAAAGGGATTTTTTTTGTTTACTTTGAGGGTTGTACATCACAGTGTAACTGGATTTGGTATTGCTATAGTCTGTCATACAGGCGCTTTAGATATATTTCAATATCACCACTTTTCAATGTGATCACCCAACAATGAATTGCAGGAGGTGGGAAAGGTTGCATCAGGAACAGTAATTATGAACGCTGGTTGCTGTTGCCTATTGGAGTGGCTTGTGTTTTTAAGCTCCTAGGGGGACTTTATAAAAACTATAGAGGGTCCTGGAGATGCCGTCTATACAGTGTATGGAGCAGCTTAAAATGTTTACTTTGCCCACAGCACAACGTTTGGATAAATACAGGTACACTGTAAAAAGACATCCACTAAACCATTTTTACATCTGAACGGGCTCAGTAAGGGTCAATTCACACCACCAGTTATGGTACATGTATCACAATTGCGTTGTCATGTGTTCTGCACCCTCGCTGCATAGCATTGTAACAATACACCACTGTGGGGCTGATTTAACAAAGGCAAATAGACTGTGCGAGTGCAGTTGATGCAGAGCTTAGTAAAAGCTTTGCTGATTTCAATCATCCAATCACGTACAAGCAAAAATGCTGTTTTTTTTTCAAATTTCATTGCTTGTGATTTGGTGTTGTTTGCAAAGTGAAGTTTTACCTCATTTACTAAGCTCTGGAGTAACTGCACTTGCAAATTGCACAATATTTTTGCCTTTGGTAAATCAACCCCAGTGTTTTCTTACTTTTTGTTTTTATTAACTATATTAAAAGTTAACAAAAACACAATGCATTCAACTCTGCACACAACAGTGAATTGTGATGCACTGCCATGCATTGTAACGTGCATTGTGTTGCATAAAATGCAGACATGCTGCATTTTTGTGCAGTCTGCACCAGGGGCGGACTGACTATTTTAGGTTAGTAGGGGGCACCATGAGATGCCCCTGGTACCTTTCATTGGCTTTTTCATAGGCTTTTTTGGGTGTGGGCGAGGACACAGGGGCCCCATGATCCCTTATTGCCCGGGGGCCCCATGAGTTGTCAGTCCCCCCCTGGTCTGCACCATTGCACTTATTATTTACACCTGTTCTGTAAGTGTCCTTGTGTTAAGCCTGTGTTGATCAGCTCTATGCACCTGTTGGGAATGAGCCCTTCGCTTTCATACATATTACAGGCAGAAATAGAAGCATTACAACTTAGGACATTTCTATGATCACTCCTGCTTTTCCTTGATACAATAGATGATCCACTCTGTTGCTGTTTATAAACTATGGTATTGTGTTAAGCTTTATAGTGACAGTGAAAGGATGATTACATACTATTCAGGTCCTACGATGGTGGATAGCTGCTCTCCTACTACATACATGCTAGTTGTTTGCTTCTCTTAGACTCAATACTTTCTCAGCTACTGACCAGACTTAAAAATCAAGGACAAATAAAATATAAATGTACAAGGAGTGCTGAAGATATGAAAGGTTAGTTGATGCTTCTGATTGGTGTCTTAAAGTGCTGACATTGGTCTATTGGAAAGATTACTCTCAGTAGTGCAGTTTCCATGTTCTCCAGCAGATGGTAGCTGTGAGTCATCCTGGTAATAAGCTGCCTGAGGAGTATAGAAACAGTGGAAGACGGCAGCCAGTCAGGAGCTGCAATTCTGACTTCTTGCCTCCTCGCCGTCTGATTGGCTGCAGGCTCCCTCTCATCTGGCTCATTAAACTCTGCTTGATCTTGTGTGAGCGTTCCCCCTGTCCTCGTGTCGCGGTTCCCTCGCTAGACCCCATTGGCGTTCTTTTCTGTGGCGCTGTACTTAGCTGCCAGTATGCTTGCATCCATGTACTCTTCTAGTATTTGTACAGATATTTACATTCTGTATCTCTGAGGGATATGAATGTTTTGAATGAATAACTTCATTAACCTGGAAAGAATGACATCCTTTGATTTTTTGTTATCTGTGATGTTACCAATGAATGATTTGGTTTTTGAAGCAGGAAATGCGGCTAATAACCAGACACTCCAAATATTGTATTTCTGCCCCATTACTGTCATATAATTTAGGATAAGTGTGCCGAGTCTG